GACTATGCTGAGACCGTGCTAGCGTATGAATAGTAGATTAGTTAAACTAGCTTTCTTATTTTCTTGTGTGTTTGATCTATATTGCTCCTGCCTGAAGCTTTTAATGGATTATTTGCTCTAAAACCTTTTTTGATTGTCCTTGCAACTATTGAGGTGGTTTATTCTGCTTTTTGACTTTTCAGCATCTTCAATAAAATATAAAATTTATTCATATAGTAGTGTGACTTAGATGACCCTATGAATTAGTGGTCTCCAAATAGTCCTGTCAGGTTTTGCAAACACAAAGTTGTGGCTTCTTTTATTGAGACAATCCATCTCATATTTGGTGTTTCCCTTTTTCTGCGGAGTATAGATTACACATTAGAATAATCAATTGTTGGGGCACTCTCATCATAAACTTTTCATGATACACACAGTCAAAAGCTTTGCTGCAGAATACAAAGCACTGTTCTTCTTGTGAAATTCTTTGGTATACTCCACTAATTTTTGGCAAACCATGATGCCAAGAAACAAAATGGCATATTGTTGGAGAGCACAATGGAAGTTTAAATGAGTTTCAAAAATATGAGGAATATAGCTACCACCCTAATCCTAATCCAGCCACAACCCTAACCTCACTGTTTATCTTCAAATACATTGAGATTATCAGAGAGTCAGAAAATACCCAGAATTCATGTAATGCATTTTTTGCTGTTGTTTTTATTCTTGTCAAAGTGAGTTCAGTTGATTTGGGGAAGGCAGTGAGGCTTGAGTCGTGATTCCTACAAATAGTTTCTTCTTCATAAAAGTGAGTCTCTTTTAGCACAAAAATAAAGCCATGCCACTCAAATCTAACTTATGTCAGTCATTTCTTTCTTCTGGATTTATATATGTAGCAAGCTGAATCACAATGTGCTTGTTAGCACCAAAGTGAAATATGGTAGCTTTAGTCTTCAGAAAATAAAAATCTGGCTAGCAGGTTGTTTCAGAATGGGAAATAACAGGAGTGCTATTTGAAAAGAAAGAAGTTTGTGTATATTCACACTGAATAGATTTTTTAATACATAACCTTTTTTTACATTTTCAGATATTCAAAATTACCATCAACTCACTTTCCCTCTCTTTTTTGCACATCTGTTCAAAACAGACTCTAATTCAAGTGCATGAGCACATTCACCAAGTCTGTGCAAGAGCTGATTTAAGTTCAGATCCTGACTGAGTGACTTGGTTTCAGCATGATTCATCTTAGGTCTGAATCTAAACAGAATTCCAAATCCAGATTTCGAAATTAGAATTTCTATCTCCTAGTAACCTGCATTGCAAAACAAAAATGTACAGAATATTTTTGAATTTTGACATGCATATATGAGAAAGTATGTGTGATTTGGAAATAAGTTAGCCACTCATATTGGATCAATTATGCCAAATTACAGAAACATGGGTTGAGAGATTTTGCAGCAAGCAGGTTTAAAATTTATGTCAAAACAGCTAAGTGCATAAAATTTGGAGCCATCACTCAGTAAGGAGATGAACCCTGTCAAATTTTGGGCAGATTGGTCCAGAGCATTTTTGTGCTGCCCATGTTCAAAATTTATTCCTAAAAGGTAACCAATATACTTCGTAATAGGTATCCAATCTTTCTAGTGCCTTGAAGTCAAAATCAAAAGTTACTCTAAAAAACTAGGTTCAAAAAAGGAGAATGGGAAGAAGGAAAGTGCTGTTGTTTGATGAAAGTACTACTGAAAACAAGACAAAAAACTGAGACCAGCGTACACTTTCACTCAGCTAAGAAATGTAGAGAATAGAGAAGGATGAGATTAATTGGGATAAGCTTGGGAAAGAGGGATTGAAGTTTGGATTCCTTTGGGGTAAAGAGATGAGAAGTGCATGCTACAGTAAATATAGAACTGCCACCAAATTCCAGGACAGGGTCACTCGTTATTATAGTAGAAGAGAAAAACAACATAAGCCTTCCCTCAAGGCATGTGCTTGCAAAATGTTGCTGACATTATTCTCTCCACCAAAAGCTAGACCTGCCAGTGAGTAGATTCCAGCTCTCTTCTCCCCCTCCGTGCTCATCCACCCTAGTGTTTTTCTGACATGTTGCTTTTTTCCATCATGGGACACAATGTGTGGTGCTCCTTTATTTTCTACATTATAGGATTAGTCTGAGGCAATTCAGACCTGACACCAGCTGGTGTATATTTGGTTTACGTTAATGTATCTAACTATTGGTGATTGTTTTATCTTTTCTATATTCTTTTTCTTTCTTTTACTCCCCCTCTTCTTTTTCTTCCCCTCTTTTTACTTTCTTTTGCTTGCTATAAGTAAATTTTTATTTTTTAAATGAAAAAAATTGATCCAGGTAGGACTGATCTGGTCCTGCTCAAACCAAATTAGATCCTGGATCAGACCAAATTAGTACAATTCAGTTGAGAATTTTGGACTCAGATGAATCAGCTGCATGGGTACCGTACAGTATTAGCATATTGAACAACTTAGCATGAGTTGAGAGTTCTTTGATTAAAGAATGGGATGTGATGTGTCCACTGTATCAGGGACATGGAGCTGGATGTAGGTTGCAGTAAAGAAAGATATAATGTTAGCTAAGTTCATCTAATGTCTCTATGAAACAGTATGGAACCTATCAGGCTTGGCATTATCATCAGACAATGCTGGGACTGATGCAGGGCCCATTAAAGAAATAAGTGCAAAATAGATTCCAAAGAAGCTTTGTTGGGGTTTGGCATTAAAGAAAATCATTAGAGAGAGAAAAACTGCAGACTTCATCTTAATTTTTCTAAAATGTCTCTGGGCTTTAGTTTAAGGGCCCAGAGATATTATGGGAAAGTAAAACTGGGAGTGGTTGGTTGGTTTCAGTGCTGGGTTGTGCCATACTACAGTACTTATGTGCATTCTCCTCTGATTTCATGGCATTGCTTAATGACCTATCTGCTGGCAAGCTCACTGGTGCTAGCCCTGAAACTCAGCAGAGAAGAAAAGGGGGCATCAATAATGGCAGGACTCTGCACAACGGGAACTAATAACACAAGTTGTAGGACTTCCAGGCAACTAGGATCCGGGGATCCTTTTAACAGTTCTATGTGCATACATGATTTTTCTGCTTCAGTCTTGCTCTCCATAGCTAATATCTCCTCAGAACAGCCAGAAGCCATTTTATGTTCCAGAGAAACTTTATAGGATTGTAAGATTGTGTCAGTTGGCTGGATACCTGAGTGAGTAAGGTAGCCATTTGTAAAGTCAGAGATTGGGAATTTGATTTCCTTTGTGTATTCCAGAAGAGGAGCCAGCCTGTGTGGTGCAGTGATTAAACTGCTGTATTACAGCCCAAACTATGCTTATGACCTGGGGTTCAATCCCGGGAAGCTGGCTCAAGGTTGACTCAGCTTTCAATGTTCGGAGGTCGATAAAATGAGTACCCAGCTTGCTGAGGGGGGGGGCAATGTGTAGCCTGCATAATTAACTTGTAAACCAACCAGAGACTTTGCTTTGCTTTGCTTTGCTTTGCTTTGCTTTGCTTTGCTTTGCTTTGCTTTGCTTTGCTTTGCTTTGCTTTGCTTTGCTTTGCTTTGCTTTGCTTTGCTTTGCCTTGCCTTGGGTGAACTGTACACTTTCAAAGCATCCCCAGAAGAAGGCAATGGAAAACTATTTTTAAGAACTCTATACCTAGAAAACCCTGGAAAGGGTTGACATAAGTCAAAATTGACTTGATGGCATATAGTTGTTACTATTAGGATTGTGTCAGCAGAATTGTGGCAGGCATTTTGTGGGCTCTCACAGACATGTGGAATAATCCGATGTGGTTCTCCTTTTCATATCCTTAAATTAAGTCCTTCTGGTACGCGACAATTTCCTTATGTTTATCCTACAAACTCTAATCTGGGGATATCTTTGCATATGTACCTGTGAAAAGATTTAGTAGATTGTCTTCTAGCATGTGCCTCATTCAGCTTAATCAATTTCCATTTTGGAGCAATTTAAAAATGTACATCATTACAGAAATTCAGAAAATGCAAGAACACGTTTAATGGAAAACTAAAGAGACTTATCATTTTCATAATTGTTCTCTCATACACCACTGTACCATTAGAGAATATTGAAATTGTAATAATCTATTAACAGGAGCATACATGTCTTTTAGCTATAATTAGTTGTGTGGAAGAAGATTAAATCTATCCTTTATCGACAAAGGGTGTTGGCAAACCTGGTGTATGGCCTATTTGATTTAAACCACAAATAAGTTATAAGGAGAGAAGTAGCAGGTTAGGGAAGGAAAGTAGTAAGTAAGGCTATCAATAATAAAGAAACTATTCAGGCATTCAGAAGAAGATTTGTCTGAATCTATGTCTGAATTCATGTTACTGTCTTCACACAAAGAATTAAAAGCTTATTCTGTGCTGCACATGAAGTCTCTCCATGCAACCAGGAATCCTAATTGTTCAGGCTCTCCAATCACGTGGAGTACCACCACAGATGGCAGATGATTTACTCTTATTACTATCTTCCATCTGAAAAGAGTAACTGCCAGGGATGGAGGTGTAGCTGTGGGGGGGGGTAGCTGTCTCTGTATGAATTCCAAGGAATCATTTTTGCATGCCTGGATATGGCTATAACTTTTAAATATAGTAATAACCTTATTTTGTGCTGCAATGAGAGTGTTCAAGGATCCCAGCCTTCCTTTCTGTTGAGATTTGACATATTTTATATATGTTTTTCATTTTTGTTCTTTAAAAATATTGAAATCACTTTAAATGATAAATTATAAATATTCTGCAAGTATGAAAAAGAAAACTGTAGAAACTCTGGGCCAAATCAAATCAGTAGTTCCAGCTATGATAACCACACTTGAAGGATAAATCAACGTTTATATAAAACCATTGATTCACTGAGTCTGCTCTAGTTGGGATAGCAATAGAATCTAAGCCTGTTTTTCTCTCAGTGGCTAAGAAAATATTCATGAATATCTACATAAATCCTTTTATCTTTCCTACCTAAATTAGATTTATATTTTTGAAAATAACATCTACTACCAGCCTGATGTAAAGAGTAGCTCTTTGAGACTGACATCCTCTGGCAAAGAAGGAATTGTATTTAATGGAATTGCAGATTGGTTGTATGAAGGTAAGTTTCTTCAGAGACTATTTATTTATTTATACATAATGTATTCTAAGTGCAGCTGTTCAGATTTTCCCAGGAAAAATCTATTCATTCTAGGACAATGTTGTTGATTGTTCTTTTGTACTTTTAATCTTCTCTTCCAAATTGTCTACATTTGCGACAAAGCATGCTATACATATGGAATGAGAAAAGGGTTTGTTACTAATCATTTAAACTTTTGGAATCTTGTTTATTTTTCTTGCTTCAAGATGTGCAACTGTATCACAAAGGAAAAAAAGAAATAAAGAACAAACAGATTTGTAGTAATACACCTGAAAATTGCTATATTTACTGTCTAGTAGTATATTTTTGGTGATAGGCCAGAAAATTACTGCTTTTTACAGGAATGTAAAAGGAAGTGGTGCAGCTGGGTAATTTTACCCTTTCGACTTAATGGCCTTATGCCAGCCCCCTTGTCACCAGTTGGTGATGAGTACTACCTTTCTTCATTCAGATGTGGGAAGCTAGCCCTGCTGCATTTGAAGGCCCACCTGATCATTCTGTTGTTGGCAGCCCTTGACATCTGTCCTACGGCCTTATCTCAATGGCACCATTGCCGGTGTGCAGTAATTGCATGTGATTATGGTCTACCTCTAAACACACCACTATTAATGTCTATTATGTCATGTCAGAGTTACTATAATAAATGTTACAAGTATTTATACTGGGCACACAAAAATATAGAGAGATGCAAAATCAACCACAGCCCTGAAATTAGGTGTTGTGATTATTTGACATTCAAAAAATCATGCCTCCCACAGGGTAGCAAAAGAAAAAAAAAGTGTATCCTAGTTGCCATTTTTCATTGCTCCTTGCCATATCTCATTGTATTTTTCCTGAAGCCATGAAAGGAGAGGTAGCCATTTCCAGAAAATTGACACATATTCTTGAGAAATCTGGTGCCTTTCTAACCTTTTGATATCAAATGCGTACGTAAGGTTTATAACTTTTGTCCAACACAACGCACAGTCTAAGTGTACAAAATAATCCAGTCTTCACTGTTTGCTTCTTGTTTCATTTTTATCTTTCTTTTTAGTAGTGTAAGGTAAGAATTTTGGTAACAGCAGAAAGATATGTAGACAAAACTAGTGTACCAAATGATCTTCAGTGGATTTCCAAACAGGATTGGAATTGCCCTTAGAGGACTCGGTCTATCACCAGCTTGCAGTATACCACATTGTATAAGCTTCTGGTAAACAATTGCTCATGTGTCCTGCTTGTGGGCTTCCCACAGGCATCTATCTGGCTGACTACAATGTGAAAAGAATGGTGACCTAGATATTTTTTTGAGATGATCCTGGATGGCTCTCTCTCTCTCTGTCCTCTGAACTGCCAGGGATCGGGATTTTTGCTCTGAATTAAATACAACAGTGGCCAGTGATACTTCCATAATTTCATGGGGTTAAGAACATTTTTTTTTCTCCCAGAGGAGCTGCTTCATTCTCACATCACTCACTGGTGGTCACCTGATGGAGAAAGGCTGGCGTTTCTGATGATAAATGACTCATTAGTACCAAACATGGTTATACCCCAATTTACTGGATTTCTATATCCCAGGGGGAAACAGTATCCATATCCAAAGGTAAGGAAGATTTCCATATTGTCAACATAACCCAATGTATGATTTATAGTTTTCACCTGTTATAACAGCATGTATTGAAAGGCAAAATGAAAGGAAGAGGAAGAGAAATCATTTCAATTAACACATTTGTTTTCAAATAGAATTATGTGTTCAGAAGAGTGTTGACCACAAATACATACATAAATATTTGATCAGTGTTTGATGGAAAAATGTGTTTTCAAATGGCACACAAGGAACATAGTCTTTTTTAGCAGAAAGCAAAAAGCAATTCTTCACTCAGGAAACTAAAAATTAAATACTATTCATTTCAAGAGTAAGTTGAGTATGCAATGAATGTTGTATGTACTTAATTAAACATGTTACACTGAGGTAGGCATTGTTATGCCTCATTTATTTTAACAGAAGAAGGTTAGGTGTGTATTTTACTCTTGTACCAAAATTATTTATTAATGATTGACCTCTTTACAGGTCAGTGAAAGCCTGGGTTGCCTATCACTTCAATGTCAATAAATCACTTGCCATAACAAAATTATTTTCTTCCAAAACTTATAGTCCATGATTTTTTGTTTTGTTTTGTTTTTGGCAGACCAGAATCCTACTAGGGTCATTCAGGGTAAACTTAAAATTGCACACCTGTTGTGTAAAATTGCTCAAACTGTTTGAACATACCCATGTCACACACTCAGTTGCACTCATAGCTGAATGCCCTGGTGCATGATAGCCAGAAAGAAAATAACAAAATCGGCTTATTCAGTTTAACTTAAGTGGTATTTCTAGATAGGATTCTGGTTGCTATCCTTATTGTCTACCTAATAATTCAATTACATGTCCAGAAATTTCTGTACAGACCCCACCTGAAGATTCCCTGAAATACAGGGACGCTGGTAGCTACTATTTTACTTATCTGAGAAAAGGCTTCAGTGTTCCATATGTAATGTAAAAGGACACTGTTAATATATTTACAAGCTCTCCTGATAAACTGAATAGTCATTTAAACATTGTTGACTCTTATAGTAAAGATATCAAAATGATTTTTTATTGATAAATATGCTTGTATCCACATGAAAAGAGGTAAATCCTCAAAAGTGAGTAACCATGAGCTCTTTAATGGATAGTTTACTCAAGGCTTAAAGGAGCAAAAACAGTATAAATATATAGACATCCACAAAAATCCCAATAAAACCACAAAGAACTTAAGTTGTTGTTCATGGACTAGTATTTTCATAAGATGGTGGTACTTAAAACAGAAGTCAGTGCAAAAGTTAATGCTAGTAATAGCTGAACAACTCTAATATTCACATAATCTTTTGGAATTGTTGTCTGAATGTACAGTGACCTTGATTAATTAAATAGGAAAACCTGAGTCTTTCTGCCAAAATACTGGTGCCATCATCCAAAGGCATGTGCAGAGTGCCTCTATTTGCCATGGAGTATGGGTAGATGCAGGCTTCTCCATCTCAAGAATCTTTGTATGGGTCAAATAGTAAAACTTTGAGGCTACATCTATGAGAGAATGGATCTGTTTCATCACATAACAGCAATAGATGATAAAGGAGTAAAAGCACTGCAATTAGCAAGTAAGAACCGATTTACAAAGTGCATGGGAAACCATTGCATGGATAACATCCCAATTACCTCCTGGTTGATAATGTAAATTAGCAAAAATCAAATGTATGGCTTCAATTAGACCATCTTCAGTCTGAAACTGATAGATTCATATGCACAAACTAAGACCAGATTATTTTCACTAGATACTGTCACAAAATAACTGTTAAGCAATGTATTTGTATGTTAGGCCTGTCATGAATCTAAAGGAACAATCCATTATGTCATAGCTAGTATCAATGCACACATACCCAAGTTGCAAAAATAATTTTTAAGCCATTGGCTAAGTCTTTTGGATTACTTAAGTCTTCTCCATATTACACATCCCAGGCACCTCTTATTTTAGAAGATGAAACTCAAATGCTGTGGCAAGCAAGTTATCACAAATAGTTGCTTCTGATAAACTAGATATTATACTTCCAGATAAGCAGTAAAGAAAATTATATCTCATAAAAGTTGGAGTTCCATCAATAAGCAATCTCAAAAATACAGAAAGTGAAAAATTCCGAAGTGTCAAACATGAAGGCAGGAAATTGAAAGAATATAGAAACAAATGAATTAATCTTTCTCCCCATTTTGATTTCAGTAACTGGAGTTATTCCAAAATCATTTGTTACCAATTTAAAAGAATTTACAAAAGCTGCTAAAAACCACCTTGTACACAAATTTTTAACTGGAATGGTAGAGTATGAATGTAATTAATAAATTAGTTTCTGAACTTCCTGAACTTCCTGTGAAATTCAAAAATGTGTGATTTTATAAACATGCAATCTCAGCCACAAATTCTTAGGACTTGACTCTTAATTTTTAGACTTGACCCTTTGGCCCACCCCCATGCACCAAGAATGCTGAGGAATAAGAAAAGCATCATCGTCAGAACAACAGTGTGCCTTCAAAACTTCCTCCTTTTGTTGGCACTTTCCAAATTTCCTACCTGTAGACGATTAAGAAGCAGCCTACCTCTGCTTTCTTCTGTGAGTGCTCTGGGACAGTAGCTTGCCCAAGGCCAGACACACTGAGTTTTCTTTTCTGAACCCCAGACCCAGACTTCAAAGCCAGGTGCTCTGACTCACTGTCTGGCTAGTTATTATTTTTCCATTTCCCATAATTAATTATGGAGGCTTTGATTTGCCGATATTGGCATGGGACTGGGTTTATTGCAGAGCTTCACTTCCTTTTTTACTGAAGGTTCACCGTTTGCAGAGGTCTCAGATTCAAGCTCCATTGTATCTCTCCACACCTGAAACCCAGCTCTGAAGAGTTTCTCAACCCTCTGTAACTATTTTGAGCATACATATGGGACAGCAGCAGGGAGGGGAATTGATCTACTCTTCTGCCATGGAACTGCCACTGCTGGATACTACTGATAAAGTCTTTGGAAAGAAATGGATGTCAGGGAATTAAAAAAGAGATTCTTTGTTAAGGCAACTGGAGTGACATGGTTTTACTAGCTTGTAATCCTCTCATTAGCACTATTGAAACATTCAGAAAAGCCTGAATGTATAAGGAAAAGTTGCAGGTTAGCTTGATTCCTTTTCATCACTTGCTGGACATGCAGAACAATCATTTGAAGTAAGATCAGAATTATGAATGTAACATCCAGATGTTTGGGATTCCAGCTTCCCCCATTCTGGAAATTCTGGTCCACTGACCCCCACATGCAGACACTTGCATTTCCATCACTTTGAAGGCTGAATTCTATCCATTTCCTGCTACAGTTTATTGTGTAGTTCTTCGAGAGGCAGCCTCAATAGATCCTGAAGACAAATATTTGCTTTGATTTGGATTCCCCTTTTGAGCAAAGGGTTGGTCTCAATGGCCTTATAGCCTCTTCCAAATCAATTATTCTGTGATTCTAAGTATTATGGTAGCTTCCTCCCTAGAATCAGTGCAGCCAGTGAGGTAGGCCTTGCACCAAATAAGTGTCTGTAGGTGTGGCCTGGAGCATACAAAATACTGCCTGGGGAATTCTCGGAGAATTCTGGGGGGTGAGAGTCCAGAGGGCAAAACCTGAATTGCATATCCCTCATAAGAACTCCTGGTTTTTCATTGTTCTAGATCACATTGAGAGTCACCATGCATAGCAGATGCTCTGTTTCTGACTACTGCTATCTGTATAAACAGAATGATGAGAGAGGAGGTAGAACATTTCATTCAATTAGATTAACCTTATTTTGAGTGCTTAAAAATGCTCTTGTAGCTTTCAGTGGGTAGAACTGAATATCCGAATGCATATTTCAGAAGAAATGCATATAGAAATGCATTCCACCAAATACTCTCTGGCTACTCACTTATAACAATACATGAACAATACAATACAAAGCATCAGTGATGTATGATAGCATTATCATATCTGTTGCTACATTGGAGAGCATTTCACGCACTGCATTGCGGTGACAATTTGCCTCTATAGTGATGTTTTGACATAGCCCAAATGGATTGATTGTTTGGTACTATGATTTCTGAGTGGCTAGAGAAACACATGTTGAAGAGCGAGGGGAAAGCTTTTTAAGTGCCATCAACAAAGCAGCACATTGAGGATGATAGGGTTGCGAAAAGGCAATACCTCCCATAAAAAGATTACTAAGAATAAGGTTTTTTTAAGGTCTTTTAGTATATCTTGAAAAGGGGGTCTTTGAAAATGTCTTCTATTCTTCCTCAGGCAACAAAAAAAGAGAACAGCCTTCCTATGAAATCATTGTTCTTAATTTTTTTTTATTTTATTTTATTTTTAAAAAGTCTTCATGAGATAAATGTCAAACTTAAAACTTGGGGGAAAGTTCTATTCCTTTTTTTTTTACTACAGTATCCAGAATCTTCATCTAGAATGTTCAGTGGCAAGTAACTTCTCATCTTACAAATGCATGTATTAAATCTGAATGTTTTTCACTTTTGGTATGAAATGCATCAGTCTAGCTTTATACATATATAAAGATATATAAAGATAATTAATTTTTTATCTGTTCTTTCCAAAGGCAGGAGAAATGAATCCAACAGTAAAACTATATGTAGTCAATTTGTATGGACCAACACATACACTGGAACTCATGCCACCAGACAGCTTTAAATCAAGGTAAACAATCTGGAAAATTAAATGTGAATTACTGTAGTTATATTGTGTGAAAACTAATAGCTAAGTGATTTCCTATCTTTCTTTACTGCCATACAATGTTCCATGTTGCTTTGTAAAAAAAAAAAATTAAGAAATTTCCCACTAAAGTGTCATAAATATGCATATCTTTGGAAGTATTACTTAATGATAAGAGAAAGATGGAGTCATTACTTGAAATGCAGTTCCTCTTCAGTGGTAGAAAATCTCCTTCCTCAAGAGGTAAATCCTATCTTTACATTGGTGGTCAGTCACCAAAAAAAAAAGTTTTGTTTTTTTTTTTAAATCGGGGTTGGAAAATGCCTTCATTGGACTTCCAAAGCATCAGAAAGGAGAACTTTCACATTATCTAGCACTCTTCATCAGGACTGGGATTACAGCATGTGGAGCCAGGACTCAATTTTCTTCTAATCCCTCATTGAAATAATTAGACTCCAATTCACTGTATTCAGAGCTGGGCTGAGCCAAAAGTGCTTGGAGCAGCATCAAAGCCTCTGCCACCTACTTGCTACCACCCACTCCGCTGCTGTCCCCAATGCTATGCAGTTTGCAGGAACACCTAATGAGAGAGGGGAGGGGAAGTAGGTGTCAAGTTGTTTTGAATCCTTGCTGGCTACCTGGTTGCTTTCAGAGCACTGTTATGCTCTTTGCCTAAGGGCTCGATCTTCAGGGCAAAGTTACTGTGCAAGTTAGTGAGGTTGAGCTTTGAAGGTGAACAGGTGATGATTTAGAACAACCCACAATCAGCATTGTTGACACTAGTTTCCTCTTCTTTGTCCCTCTCCCTCTCCCCACAAGTGTCCCATGCCATGTCAGGGGAGGGCACAGGCATCGGGGGCATCAGGGAGTGGGGGCAGTAGCAGTTCTCCTCCTACCTCAGAGGGAGAGCTCATCCTGGCACTGACTATACAGTGGTGCCTCGCATAACGAGCGCCCCATTTAACGATGAATCTGCATAGCGATGCGGATTTTGCGATCACAAAAGTGATCGCATTGCGATGTTTAAATATGCAAAACATCGCATTGCGATGATCGGTAAGCATTTCGCTTACCGATCTTTGCATTGCGATGTTTTAGAAACAGCTGATCGGCGGTTCCAAAATGGCCACCGGATCATCAAAATGGCTGCCCGCAGCATTTTCGCGCCAATTCCTTGCTTACCAAGGTGGGGAAAATGGCGGCCCTATGGAGGATTCCCGCTTGGCGGTGAGTTTATCCCCCATAGGAACGCATTAAACAGAGATCCTATGGGGGTTTTATTTCCGTATAGCGACATTTCTGGATAGCAACGATTTATCCAGAACGGATTATTGTCGCTATGCGGGGCACCACTGTATTTGTTAGTGCATCCCTCAGCTGAATTTCCAGCTTTGTTGATGGGAGAATTGCCAACTGCCTTGTTGCTTTTGCTCTAGGAACGCACAGCAATTCGATGCTTTGGTTAACGGGCAATGAATTCTTGCCTAAGTGACTGGCAAACCCTTTGTCTACAGAGATAACAAAAGCCAACTGATTCTAGATTCTCAAGATGAAAGCTGATAAACAGCATGCCTAAAACTGATTCTTTAAGGCTCAGTTTCTATCTTGGGTCTGGAGTACAGGCTAACTTTAGATCCTACAACTTTGTCTTCTGGTTAAGATAATAATCTTTTTGAACGCACAATACAAGCTTACAAGGTTGTAACACTTCAAGAAGGCACATATAAAGTTCTTGATACAGTTGTGCTTCGACTTACAAACGTCTCTACTTACAAGCAATTTGACTTATGACCAGCTCCGGCTTGCGACAGGAGCTTCCACTTACGAACAAAAAAAGACAGGAAATTCAAAATTCTAACTGTAGGTTGCGACAAGGCTGCTTCTTTGTAGCTCTTTCGTCCCAGCGGTTAGAGTGTGTCAGAGGAGGAGACCTGGGACTGCCTCCTTCTGCTTTGGAGTGAGCGTGTGTGTGTGTTTGCAGGGAGGCTTTGGGCTGCCTGGTAAGGTAAGGTGCTGTTTTCTGCTTTTTTAGCAACTGTTCTGGGTTCCTTTTGCAGCGTGGTTTTGAGCTGGGGGATTATGTTTCTGTGCTGAGATGAGTATTGGGGGCTTGTTTGTTGGGTTTTTTTCCCATTTCCGATGTGTCTTGGGGGGCTTGGGTGCTTTTGGAGGGTTTTCCCCCATTTCCGATGGGTCTTGGGGTTTTTTTGTTTGTTAGCTTCCCCCCCCATTTCCGATGGGTTTTGGGGAGTTGGTTGCTTTTTGGGTTTTTTCCCCCATTTGCAATGGGTCCTGCATGCTTCCCTTGCTTTTTCCTTTGTTTGCATTTCTGACCTGCCCCCTTTGTTCTCTGTGCATTTCTGATTTGCTCCATTTGTTTTCTGTGCATTTCCAATGGGTCTTGCATGCTTGACTGCTTTTCTCCCCCCCCTTCAGCCGCAAGGGAGTAATCACATTTCCAATGAGTCTTGCAGTGATGTTTTTGTTATTTTTTTCTTCGGCCAGAACGCATTCCTTTGGGAAATGGTGCTCCGACTTACAACCATTTCGAGTTACATCCATCTTCTGGAATGCATTGTGGTTGTAAGTTGAGGCACCAATGTATTGGCCTGTCCTTGGCCCAACAACAGCACAAGGCATTTCTAAACAAATATCAGGCCTTGTAAACATGCTGGCTGAGAACCTATATCTGTCCCTTCTGACAACTCTCTGTGCCTTTGTAAAATTAAATGAATTTGGTGTAGTTGCTAAATGTGTGAAAGACACTTAGTACAGACAAAAAACTGCAGGTTAGATAGCTTGTTGAACCTAATTCGAAAGAACAGTAATTTTTAGTCTGACATAGGCAGTCTATTTGGTCCCTCCACATAGAATTGAATATAAAATAACAAGATTTTAAGAAAAAAGAGAAGAATATGTGAAGGTCGGTTGATTACACCTCTCCTGGCTCCCACTCCCACCTCTCCTGGATCCCACCCTTCTCTTGAGTCCCTAAGTCATATCTTAAATCCTGGTCTGTAGAGGTTAAAACGATTTAGACTCTGTGTGCATGCCGATGAACATCACAGAATCTGTCATATTTTGGCATAGGTTTAGGAAGGTGTTTTTCCCCCCTTGGGGTCAGGGTTTATCCAGTACAAAACAAAGAGAACTTATTAGTGAACAAAGGAGGGAAATGACTGATGAGGTGATATATTGAGACAAGCCAAAACAAACTTCAGATTGAGAATGTTTCCACTTGTCCCATTCCTAGCCACCAATGACACCAAACTACCCCCCTCCTTGCCCCCCAGAGTTGTCAGCACTAGAGATCTGCTACCTGTCTATCCAATACCTCCATTTTCATTGCTCCACAATGCAAAGCTCTCTGTATATAATAAGCATTAAAATAGTGTTGCTAGGGGAGGCAATCCTCACAAGCCTGTGCTCCTGTCAGTGCTACCGTTGGGGATAATCCAGTTTGGCACAGCATGTTAGGACATCCACTTCACTACACGTCTCCTGGGAACTCTGTAGAGTCTGTCCTGAACCACCTCCTCTGATTGCAAATGCCAATTATTTTTATCTTTTAATTCAAAAATGGTTTTCTATAATCTTTTCAACCATGTGTGCATATATGATGGACACTGTCCCAGTGGGTTATTATTTGAAGAGAAGAATGCTGCATATCTAAGTGTGTAACATTCTCATTTTTTAGTCTGTGGTTTGTGCAGACTTAGTTAAAATTTCATGTGTTTAATGTATTCTCTTTGACTTGCACATGGTTTAGAAATCTATTCTTCTGTCACATCACAGAAGCCTGAAAACCTGCACATTCCTGGAAAAATCAATTCTAATTTTAATTTTATCTATGAAAGCTTCATGTCCCAGTTACAAAAAATTGGAGCTTGACAGCAATATAAACCAAAAATATATTGATTTAAAAAAACTGATCCATGTCCTTGTCTTGCTTTTTGGCCCTTCGAAAGAGGAAATAAGAAGGGTGGAATTCTTGATTAAATCTGTACAGGGATAGGGGGTGAGTGGAATCCATAATCTGCAACAGTGTATGCTGATGTTCCTGATGTCTATCCTGCCTTGTGCTTCTGGGGCTTGGCTGACCCAGTTTCAGCACTGCCTGACAAAGGAAGAGGCCATGGAAATATGGGAGCATCATTTTGATTGATAAAGATATCTGGAAGAAAACTAACAGGCTGTGTTGACTTAGTCTTTCAAAGGTGTTGTAGGGTGCTTTCTAATAATCAAAGTAAAAATAAATGGAAGCTAGAAATAACTTCATTGATATTGTCTTCAAGGCTAGACATGATGAACAGCCATGGGCATGTCTGTAATTTAGCTGGGAACTCAGGCACATAACAGCTTACAGTCTGTAAACCACTTCCTTCCCAGTGTGGAACATGAACATGAAAGATCATGGATCAAATGCCATTTCAGTCATTAATTCCCCAAAAGGTTTTGATCCTTCCAGCCCCAGTTATCTTGTAAGTTGACAAAAAAAAATCAATCTAATCATTAAATCTTAAGTAAAACACTGACTGTTAAAGGTTACATCCAGTGGTGTCATTCCACTCCTCTAAGAGGTTACTGTTGTTGTTTTTTTAAAAAAAATTAGCTTTGCTCAGCAGAGGCTCTTACACTCGCTGAGTGATTCCCAGTCTTGGGTCCCCAGATGTCCTTGGACTAAAGCTCCTAGAAGCCTTTACCTCTAGCTGTGCTGGCCAGGAGTTCTGGGATTTGTAGTCCAAGATCACTTGGGGACCCAAGTCTGGGAACCACTGCACTAGATATTTACTTATGCTAATTGTTACACTAGTCCCATCTGTTCCACAGACTACTTTTTTCTCTAGTTCTTTGTTGGATACAATTCAGTAAAATTATATAGGTGATGCCTAAGTGTGTAACTGTAAACAATTCTGAAGAATAATTTATACTATGAAATTATCTAAGCTTACAAATTAATAATTTAGCACCCTTCCCTTGTTTGATTTAATGTCTCTGCTGACTTTAGTAAGAATATTATTATTATTATTATTGTTGTTGTTGTTGTTGTTGTTGCTACTACTGTTACTGTTACTGTTACTACTATGATTATTATTATAAGCACTCCTGTTTATTCAAAATAACCAAACCATGTTACAAATAAAAAATACAATAAAAGTAATAGTTACGTGAATAAAATAAATTCTCATAGTTATGACTGCCAGCTTAACTTTATCAGCATAAACTTCAACGGTAAATTCCACAAGTTAAGAAGTCAATATACTTTTTTGCTATTTCATGTGACTTAGTAGATGGTAGCAAATGTCCGGCTGACTTCTTAACCTTCAGCAATTTGTCACTGAAATGTATGCCAACCGATATGTGCTGGCTAGAATCCCAGCCATTGAAACAATGCAAAACAAAAAAACCACAGTAAATGCATTAAAAATCAGAGTAACAATAATGCAAATAATCAGGAACCTGCCAGAATAAACAGATAGCTCTTCGGCTGTTGGCACAAACATTTGAGACAATGAGCCTGCCTTATCTCTGTGGGGAAACTATTCCACAGTCCACAATAAAGAAAACTGTCCTTCATACTAGTCACAACCTCCAAAACAAATACAAATATAGCCCCACATAAAGTGCATTACAACATGTCCTTTCCGAGGATACCAAAGTGTGGATAACTATGGCCATGCTGCCACTGTGCAGAAATAATGATAGCTGTTGTACTAGCTGAAGTTGTTAGGAGGTGTTCTTTGTCACTGCGGCCAGTTGAGCTTCTCCTACAAATATTCAAAAGCACCCCCAGTGCTCTTGTTTCTTTAAAGGCAGTGCAGTAGGTAAATTATAGGACAGGCATACGGTCCAACTCTGGGGACCAGAAGGAGGCTATTCACAGGATGTCTTTTTGGATGACCACCACTATATTCAGGCACTGGTCCAAGTTGTGAATAGTCACAGCTGACTCTGATGTGCTGGAAAGATAGAGCTGAGTATAATCTGGCCACCCAGGAAGAAGTAATATACTCAGACACATCCTAACCCCTCAGTCACCTCAATACACAATGAGCACTCTAACACATACACACAATATCAGCAATGTGATCATATACAATATGTGAGGAAATGATATTGCCACTTAGAGTAACAGTGTGCAACCATGGCATTCTTGTTGCATACAGACTCTCCAAATGTTACTCTACATCCACACAAGCCACAAACACAGAAGGTTCTCAGCCATTTGCTCCCTCTCCCAAACATTCACTTAAGGAATGTCTGGAGTTCAGCCTCACAAGTTATCCCTCTTTCTCCACCAGTGTAGAACTCACATGAACCAAAATCTTCGTACCAGTCTTTAAGAAAGGGGAAGCACCTTCACCTTCTTCAACTCTCCTAAGTGCTCAAAACTAAGACCCATTGAATTCAGTGGAACCTTACAGTCTTGTCAGTATCTGTCTGTCTGTCTGTCTGTCTGTCTATCTATCTATCTATCTATCTATCCTGTCCATCTGGCTGCACGCCCACTCTGGGCAGTTTACAACATCTTAAAACAATAGCACTTAAAAATAAGTATGTAATCAGTATGTAAAGAATTGCAGTCAAAATGCCCCCTATTTCAGTGTTATCATCCTCATAGAGATAGGCATGAAGCATCTCATGCCCCTTTGTCACAGGTCGATTGCACAGCAGCTCAGCTACCATGCATTCCCTTCCCCCACCCACCCCACTGGTACCTCCACTCATCAGCCAGCTTGCATTGCTCCTTCCCTCCCATTCACAGTATCTTTTAGCCCAGGCAGGAGCAACAAACTTCCCTTCTCTGCCTCCTCCAGCAACTGGAGACTCAGATGAAGAGGCGGGGCAGAGATTCTTGCAGCACAGCCTTTGAGTGGCCAGCTGCTTGAGGAGGCGGCCACTCAAAGGCCTGTTCCTGCCCAGACTGGAAGATTGCACAACAGGGAGGGAATCAGCAATGCACACTGGCTGGTGAGTGGAAGTGTCAGCAAGTGGATGGGGGAAGGAAACATACAGCACCCATGCTGCCACACAGACAATTTATGACAAAGGGGCATGTGCCCATCTCTAATTCTCACGCTATAATACATTGCAGTCTTTGAACTACTGACTTTTGAGTAGTCCCGTTTAAGGTTACAAGCTGTGGTAGCATAAGAGATTTAGCTGAAATTCCTAGAAATATAATAAATTCTACAAACTACTAACGTGCAGTGCAATAAGTGAAACAACCATGAGAAATATCCTGAATTATATATGGCAAGTTTCCTAGCCTTGACAGGTTACAGTAGATGGGCTGACTGACAGTCTCAGCACAACAACTAATAGGGCTTGAAGAAAGGAGAGGTTTGTCTGCAGCATTGATGAAATGTATCAGTAGAATTTCACTAAAAATGTTTACAGACAGACAATCTGCATGTTTTGTTTTGTTCTTTAATTTTATTTGGCTGTAGAAGCAACTAGCTATGCAGCTTTATCGACTTTTCATGCAGCATAAAGTATTTGCAGAACATCCTTAACATTTAATATTCTTCCAGCAGCTCTACAGCAGTGAAAACACTTTTGTTTGGGCAGTTGTTCCAATGTTTGTTGTTCTTCGCTTAGTAAAACACAAGACAGCATAAGTTAATAACATCATAAACTTCAGTCTTCTTAGTATTAAATATGGTTAAATTGCTATGGAATAATTTTGTCATGTTGGTTGTGCCAATAAAATACATAGATACAAGTACAATGGAGAAAATCCTGTTAGTGATGCTTGCCGGCATAATGCAGTTGGCATAACTCTCATTTATAAATTGCTGCATGTTAAGAAGTTAATGTTGGCATTTGATATTGTGCACTGAGTAAAGCAATTTTTAATGCAACAGCAGACACCTATGCTAACTTTTTAACTTGGGTCAGCTCACCAAGAAGAGCCATGCTGATTGTGTTACTCCAGAGTAAAAACCAATATAATTTTGGGCATTAAAACCAAAAGCAAAAAAAGCTAAAACACATTAAAACAATAGAAGTGAAATGCAAATGTGAAATGTGTTTTGTAATTCTTCCTATCACCAATAAAATGCTGAATGGAACAATGGAGGAACATCTTTTACTGCAGTGCCTGGGGTGCAGTTTCACAATATATGAATAATAGAACTGCTGTGTTTTAAAATGTATTTTTACCACAGAGAATATTACATAATGATGGTGAAGTGGGTCAGCAATACGAAGACAGTAGTGCGGTGGTTAAACAGACCTCAGAACATATCTATCCTTACAGTATGCGAGACAACAACTGGTGCTTGCAGCATGGTAGGCAATTTCTTCCTAATTTTCTTCCTAGGGAATGTCACACATATTGTTGTATGAATAATACAAACCTTGAAGCTTAATTTTGGAGCCAATTCTGTTCCATGAGTTTTGCTTTCATTTTGTAATGCAAACAACGTGGAGACTACATGTACTTTTGAATGGGTTCAACCTAGACAGACATGGACATGCACATGTCCTTTGGTTATGCTTTTATTAGGTCTTAGAAGATCTTGTTGATCATTCAGGGAGAATAGCTGGATGTGTATAACAAGTGTGAGTTCCAGGTGGATCTCACTACCTGCCAAAATTGAATACAGTGAGGAAACACTTTAAATAAATACTTTACAGCATCTTTGGCAGCACTAAAAAAGGGCCAATGACAGCATTCACTATTCCTTTGTCCACCAATAAATTTGAGTTCTGATAACATTAACAACCATAATTGTACTTCATTAAAGAGGGTTTGATTTGAATATGAATTTATTTCAAAGCAAAATGTTCAAAGGATGAAAATCAGAAATTGGAGGAGGAGATGTGCAAGCCCAATATTATAAAAATAACAGTTCCTTTAGCCTCCAGCCCTGTCCGTGATACTTGGGAATATATTCCATTTAACTCTAAAGAGACTCAGTTCTGTATAGACAGAACATGCAGAGGATTGTGCTATTAAAGTTTATGAAATATTATTTAATTGAACACATTTATTCAACTTTGTCCTTTCCAAAGAATATAAATAGTAAAGTGCAGTTGTCCCGTATAATTAGTAAAATTGTGCATTCATTTCATAATGGGCATTTACTGTTTCACAAAGGCAGTGTAAATTATGGTTTCTTTCGGATGTACACTAAAATATTAATACCAGATCAAAATAGCACACATTTTACAAGGGCTCCTATTTAAGGTAACACTGAACAACCTAAATATTTCCATAAGATAGATCATAAATGGCAGTCTTACACAAGCACATCATTTTATAGCTAGTTTACATATTTTATAAAATATGAAAAACTAATTGGTCTGTGCTCTATGAAGCTCAAAATGTGCTACATGTATTCCTACTAATGGCTGTATTAAACAAAGAGTAAAATGAAATGGTGTTCAGTTTTCTCACCATTTAAATGCATTTCATAACTGTTACTGTTACTGTTATTTTCAGAAATATGAGTTTTCCTCCGAAGTTTGGCTTTCGAAACAGGTATAGTATTTTGATCTTTTTGTTCTTGATAGAATGTATTTTAGGGTATTTAAAATGGTGATCAATAAAATGTTAAGAGATTTTTTTTCACACTTCAAACAAAACAATACTTAATACAGAGGTCCTGAGGGTGGGTGGCCCCTCCATTAGTGGTTTGGGAAACTCCCTCTTTTTGGGGGGGAGTGACTCTCACTGTGAAGAGTGTGGCTCACAGCCTGGGGGTCCATCTGGATCTGACACTCACCATGGAAACCCAGGTAATGTCAGTGGTCTGCTCCACCTATTTTCATCTCTAACGGATTGCCCAGCTGCATCCCTATCTTGATGTTGGGGAGCTCACCACTCTGGTCCATGCACTTGTAATCTCGAGATTAGACTACTGTAATGCACTATACCTGGGGCTACCTTTGAGATTGATGTGAAAGCTTCAAATGGTACAGAATGTGGCAGCCAGGCTTCTCACTGGAGTGAGAAAATATCAGCATATTTCCCCAACTCAAGGGAGGCCCGAAGAGAAAGAACAAGAAACCAGGCCTTCTCAGCAGTGGCCCCTTGCCTCTGGAACAGTCTGCCCCAGAGATCTGTCTGGCTCCCTCGCTGGGTGTTTTTAAGAGCAAACTTAAGACCTGGCTCTTTAGGCAGGCTTTTCCTCCTTGTCATCACCTGATTATTTTTCCCATCTTGAACTATATTATTACTGATGTCTTATTTTATTATATTGTTTTTATTATTATCTATTATTG